AGAGCGGGTGGATGCCCAAAGGAAGGAGGCTGTGACCCCGTGGGAAGCCTGCGCCAGATCAGGTTCCTGGCAAGACTTTCAGGACCTGTGGGGGGAGAAGCCCACGCCGAAGCAGGTTTGCTGGCAGAACTTGTGACCCTGCAGGGGACCCATGCTGGAGCAGCCTGCTCCTGAGGGACTGCACCCTGTGGAAATTATGGACTCATGCTGGAGCAGTTCGTGAAGCCCATGGGAAGGACTCATGTTGGAGAAGTTCGTGGAGGACTGTCTCCCATGAAAGGGACTCCACGCATGAGCAGGGGAAGAGTCCTCTCCTGAGGAAGAAGAAGCAGCAGAGAGAAGGTGTGATGAACTGACCCCAAACCCCATTCCCATCCCCTTGTGCCGCTGGGGGGAGTAGGTAGAGAAACTGGGAGTGAAGTTGAGCCCAGGAAGAAGGGAGGAGTGGGGGGGAAGGTGTTTTAAGATTCAGTAGTTTTTTATCCTCTCCTTCTCTGATTTTGATTGATAATAAATTAAATGAATTTTATCAAGTTGAGTCTGGTTTTGCCCATGATGGTAACTGACAAATGATCTCTCCCTGTCCTTATCTCAACCCACAAACCCTTTGATTTACTTTTCTCCCCTCTGTCCAGTTAAAGAGGGGAGTGATAGAACGGCTTTGGTGGGCCCCTGGCATCCAGCCAGGGTCAAACCACCACAAGAAGCCACTAAGAGAAGAAAGAAGGATGTAAGGAATGCTCTTCACTACATTCTACTCATCAGGATGTTTGCAGAATGGGTATACTCAAGATATGCTAGCTAAAACATATTGGCTTTGGTCTCAAGTGTCATGACATGTAACTGCCATGTAAAGAGCAATATGGATAACCACTCAAGAAACAAGAGAAAATTTTGCATGCCATGTTAATTAATGCTGAAATAGAATTTTTAGTTTAGATTAGGAGTGGCCAACTTATGGCTTACAGGTCAGCCCACAGCCTATTCTCTTCCTCAAAATGTCTTCAGGAATACCTATTAAAATGATGCAGCAACCTGTACCATAGGGAGCTCTAGAGAGTCCATAGTAAGACCAAAAGGCTTATTCTCACAATTCAGAAAAGCTTAACACACACAAAGTTATAAAATAGGGAAAAATAATCTTTTCAGATATGTACCACATTTCTTCAGAGACCAAGTGGTAAACAATATCTCATTTCTGTGAGGTAACAGCTTTTGATTTTTGGGGCAAGAATGGGATGCATGGAACTGGGGCAGGAACTGGCCTCTCAGATGCCTTTCCAAAGGCACAAGAACTCCCAGTTAACTGCTCTCCTATTTACCATTTTAAAAAAAACACCCTCAAGTAATTTTTGGTACCTGCATAATGATGCCCTGTATGATATCTAAGCCTTGTGTTTCACAGTAGAGTTGATGCAAACCTCTGAGGATATGAGAGCTTTTGGCCAAATACTCACCAGTGCAGGCCACTGTGCCAGTGAGACTCGAGTCCCCTGAAGCATAACCGGATCATTTCGAGGTGCCCAAACCAATGATCCTTCCAGCAACAACACTATAACTTCTTCAGCGTGGACTTTCACCCAGGCATGTTGCTTCCAGTTACAGCCATCAAATTCCACAAAGATCTGATAAAAAAAAAAATTTAGAAGGCATTTCAGCTCTTTTCGAATACCAAATAGAAAAAAACCCAAAGATTCCTACAACCCCTATGGATAAGGAGACAGCAGCTTTAGTCAGAAAAATCAGGATAAATATTGTAATGACAACACTGAGAACATCACATCTACATAGCTATCAAACAGTGCAAAAGAAACACAAATCAAATTCACAGCAATTACTAACCTATGAAAAATGATTTATCCCCAAGCACACACAACTGGCTCCCAATGCTGCATTTCCCCATACAAAATTAAAGATATGAAAGCTGTTCATCACAAAATACAATGGATGACCCAATGCAAGCTTCTTTCACATAGGGATTTTTTAGAGAATTTAGACACTGTAACTTGGCACTTCAACAGCCAGCCGTATCAGTATGGCTAACTGACATTCACAGAATTAAATCCTCCAGCCAGGGAAGTTTGTGTTTGTGAAATCCACTCTAAATCAGAAGTTTTGTATTGCCTTATACACTACTAAACTCCCTGAACCAAATGCAAATATTTTGGATGGCATGAGATTATCCAGAAATATCTACTCACTAGATTTTTCATTACTTTATTTACAAGTGTGACTATATAAACCACACTACAATTCTAAATCACTATCCTGAGATATCATCCCTCTTGTTCTTATCACAAAGGACAAATGTTAAAGCCATACGAAATTACATGGCAAGAATGCTAAGAACAGGAACGCAGGTTACAAGTCTCATTCCACCTCCTAACAACTAGGGCTATCAAATGTTAAAACACGGTCATATTCCAATCTTTCATCTACAGAACTTATATACTACACAAATATAATCAAATACGTCAGATGAACGGCAAGAAATTCCTAATCAGTTAAGAAACACTTTAAGCTGGACAGTCAACACAGAATTTTGTAAGAATTACAAGATCACTGAGGCTAACAGGGCACTAACCGGAGACAGAGAGCTTTACCAGTAATCCTTACTGAAAGAGGTATTAGAGACCACGCGTACACTCCTCTTCCCCACTCCTCCCTGCAGACTCAAAAGCTCAAACTCCAAGGGGAGAGGGAGAGAATATGAAGCAACTCTCCTGATGAATTCTTCAACTCCATTACTGTTTAAGCTGCCCTGCAGAGAAAGAAGACTGGACCTTTCAACATATCCTTCCTTCAGTTCAACACGTTTCAGCAATATAATGGAAATTGGACTGAACACCTTTTCGGTTTCAGTGAGCCTGTACTTTTCTTAATATTGTATTCATGCTCCTTTGGCAATAGAATGTGACAGAGAGGACTATCATGTAAGAATAACAAAATGGAATTATTTGTTTATAAGTACAGTTTTAGTGAGGTAATCATCTTGTTATGATTCTCTTATCGTAAAGGTTATACAAAAAAAGGTTGTCAAAAAGAACTATTAGAATAATGCTGACTTTGGAATATATGCCTTTTTGCAAGATATTTAAGAATTTAATGAAAAGGAGGGGAGATTTTATACGTAACTACAGACACAGGACCTCTCACTAGCACTTCCCCTTAAACTAGTTGGCAAGGATCACTAAAGGCAGGCAAATTCAAACAAGCAATAAAATGCAGTTTACCGCTCTGTCCCAAATAAATAAGGATACCTATTAGATTTATTTTTAATTTATTACTTCACAAAACAAGTCATTTTACCTTGTGACATACACAAAGCAAGACTGTAAGAAAATTTCTTCCAGTCTTAACCTATAAGACGCCTCACATTTCTAAGTGGAACACCTGTGCTTTTAGCTGCAAATTTACCATGTTACTCCCTGGTTAAAAAAAAAAAAAAAAAAAGAAAAAAGAAAAATACTACAAGAAATAGCCTATGATGAACTGCAAGATGGGTGTTCCTTGCTTGTTTGAGAGGCTCACTAAATATTCTGACAAATACTGCATACCCATCATATACAAAGCAGTAGCAATGCCATCTGTAACATCCTAGCAGATGTTACAGCAGCACCCCTCTTGATCATCTACCAAAGGTCTTGGGAGTCTGGGGAGGTCCTCACTGACTGGAAGCTAGCCAACGCCATTCCAATTTACAAGGGCATGAGGGAAGACCCAGGGAACTACAGACCTGTTAGTCTAACCTCAGTACCTGCAACAATTATGAAAATCACACAGGGTGCTATTTAAAGACATTTAAAGGACAATGCAAACAATGGGTTCACAAAGGGAAAGTCCTGTTTAACTAATTTAATCTCCTACGACAAGATCACCCACCTAGTGGATTAAGGGAAGGTGATGGATGTAGTTTTTCTGGATTTTAGTAAGGCTTTAGATACTGTCCCTCACAGCATCCTGTTATCCAACAGTGAGGTGTGTTCATGGTGCACTGGGTGAAGAACTGGCTGGACAGCAGGGCTCAAAAGGTTGTAGTGAACAGGGCTACATCTGGTTGGCAGCCAGTCACCAGCAGCATTCCTCGGGGCTCAATCCTAGGGCTGGTGCTGTTCAGTATTTTCATCAAGGATCTGGATGCAAGACCTGAATGCACCATTAGCAAGTTTGCTGATGATACCAAACTGGCAGGTGCTGCTGACTCTCTCAAGGGACAAGAGGCCTTGCAGAGGGATCTAGATAGACTGGAGCATTGGGCAATCAACAGTGGCATGAAATGCACCACAGTCAAATGCCAGATTCTGCCCCGGGAAGGAGTAATGCCTGACACAAGTATAAACTGGGAGAGGAGTGGCTGGAGAGCAGCCCTGCAGAATGGGGTCTGGGGGTGCTGTTTAGCAGCAGGCTTGATGGGAGCCAGCAGTGTGCCCTGGCAGCCAAGAGGGCAAACCGCACCCTGGGGTGCATCAAACACAGCATGACCAGCTGGTCAAGAGAGGGGATTATCCCACTGTATTTAGCATTGGTGCGGCCTCACCTGGAGCACCACGTGCAGTTCTGGGCCCCACCATTTGAGAAGGATGTGAACATGTCCAGAAGGGCAACAAAGCCGGTGACGGGGCTGAAGGTATGTCCTCTGGGGAGCGGCTGAGGACTCTGGGTTTGTCTCGTTTGGAGAGAAGGAGGCTGAGGGGCAACCTCATCATTCTCTGCAGCCTCCTGAGAAGGGGGTATGAAGAGGGAGGTGCTGAGCTCTTCTCCCTGGGATCCAGGGACTGGACATGTGGGAACGGCTCAAAGCTGCATCAGGGGAGGTTCAGACTGGACATTAGGAAGTGTTTCTTTACCAAGAGGGTGGTCAAACACTGGAACAGGCTTCCTAGAGAGGTGGTTGATGCCCCATGCCTGTCAGTGTTTAAAAGGCAGTTGGACAGGGTCCTTAACAATTTGCTTTAACTTCTGGTCATCCCTGAAGGGGTCAGGCAGTTGGACTAGGTGATCATTGTAGGTCCCTTCCAACTGAAATATTCTATTCCATCACATAACTCAGAAAACAGACCTTATGGTTTTCATTTCTAAAAACCCAGACCCACGATCTGGGTCAAAAGGAGAGAAAAAAAGACTTAACATCATCATATTAAGATCATCTCTCTCCTCTGCAAAACAGAGAAATCATGGCGCATTTGTTTTACACGTTTTATGTTCAATATTCAGTTTTCTTCCATCTTTCTGTAATCAACATAAGCAATGAAACCCTACCAAACTTTGACTTACAACCATTAAAAAAAGGTGTTACTAATTCTAAGTCAATACCCAACAGAGTATTTTCCTACACACAGATATGCAGGGCAGCTGTTCCAGATTCATGCAACACCACACATGATATTGTCAGTAGTTTCCAACAGATCACACAGCAACAAAAAGGATGAAAGCCTCAATATAAACAGCCATGTTCTCCGCTTCTGTTTCCAGAATCTGCAATAGAAATCACTTTGTGTACTGGCTGCACAAGAAGCGGAAGACGACTTGCACAGCACACTGAGTGGTTGTGCTTATACCAGTTTGCATTACTACAGAAAATAACGACAGTGTATTCATGAATTGATGCACAATATGCTTTGATTCTATGGGAAAAACTCTAAGGGAATCCTGAAAGAGATGCTGAAAGTAAGGACAGATGAGGCAGACTTGAGAGTGAATAAACATGTTTCCTTTTGATATTCAAAGTGGTAAACAGAAAAATTCTACCTTTGCTGAAAAACCCAGAAGCCTTAAGCAAAGTGGCTGCATTATAACCAAGAATTTCCTTTTTTTCTCACCTTAATTTAAAAATTGTGTAGTTCTGAGTCAAGAGGGAAATGTCTGTATGCGAAAGCCCCAGCTTTTCAGAATAGATTACCTCTCAAATATATCAATGGCCCTAAAATTCACAGGGTCACATCTGCTGACAGTATCTTCTGCTGACCCTCCTAACTCCGCTCACAATCAGTTTAGACAAGCCATTGATAAGAACAGCAATGGTGCTTTGTTAGTGCTTTTGAACAGTGGTATTGATGACGTCAACTAGATATGCAATTAGTGCAGATACATGTATATCACATTAAAAAAATAAAAATGCTACTTAGACAAAAATGCACCTGCAGGATTTCCCAAGTTCTCCTACAAGGAAAAACACCCTGCCTAAGCAGTACCTAACTGCAAACAATAAAGATTTTTATGTTTTGGTGGTTTGTTTTTTTTTTTTTTTTAATCTACAAAACAATTTTTTTTCCAATGAGAATGGAAATGTGTGGCATACACACCTGTAATTCTCTCCCCCCCCCCCCCCTTTTTTTTTTTTTTTACAATAAAAAGTGACATTAGAAAGCAAAGCTGTTGCTCAGCTTTATTTGATACACAAAGACAGCCTGAAGCATTCTTTCCAGAAAACACATTCTTGTCTAGCTACTATCCTAATATTCAGGCCTTAATACACTATAGAGAACTATAATCTGGTTCAAATGGAATTTCCCCTCAAGTTTTCCAACATCAGTTCCACTATAAAAGCAGCAACAATAGGAAGACCATAGTGTAGATAAGACAGATATATAGGTCTTTTTCATCACGTGTCACACAGGCTCTAAACACGATTTATAATAGAAAAAATACCGCAGTTTATTGCGTTAGAATTTGCACAAAGGCCTAATGTAGATGCCATCTATAAAAACCAAAATCTTTACATTTTAGGGTTTTATATATTATAAAAAGCAGAAGATGGCAAAAAAAAAATCCAAGTTCAAAAATATCCCTTAAAATGGTCTTAAATTTTACCTAGTTTTGAAAGGAAGGATGGTCCATCAGTTGCTAGAGAGTAGCCAGAGACCCAGGTTCAATTCCCTGCTTCATCAGAGGCTTCCTGCATGACCTTGGTCAAGCCATTTAGTCTCACTGGCTGAGTTTCCCCATCTGTAAATTGGAATAATAGTACTTATGCCCAGAAAGGAGGCACTGGTAGGAATCTGTTGCAGACTACCATGTAAAATTGGGTTACAAGTTGGTCCATGACCTCTTACTCATGATGTAGAAAGAACTACATTGTCAACATGTGGGAGAGGAAAGAAGAGAAGGTAGATATTGAGATTTCAAATTGGACACATCTGAGATCTCATGCAGCTAGTACTACCATTAAGTGAGATTAAAAAAAATTAAACTACAGTAGTTTTCCAATAGTTTTCTAATGTAATGAAAGTATTATTTTGGAATCCATTACGTGAGACAAAGATGATGTACACACCAATGCTTAGAAAACTTTCAGCTTCCAATGCAGTAATCGTGCTTCAAACTATTTCTTACTACCAAAGGCAAAAAAATCCAATCTGAAATACATATACACACACACACTAGATGTTTTACTGCAGCTGATTCCCAAAGCCAGGGGAAAAAAAAAATAAAGAGAAAAATCCTCCTCTGAAGTAATTTGTATCAAGCCAGACAAATAGTAGATTTTCGTTGTATAACCAAGAAACCACAGTTATTGGACAGAACCATTATGCTTAAAGGCTGATACTAAGACACTATATTTTTAGTGAAGATACTAAATATATTACTAAAACTAGAAATTATACATAGTTTTTACATCTCCTTGGCACTTTCCTATGCTTATAACACACAATGGTAATTAAGCAAAACAATCAAAAATGCTTTTGACAGGGTCTAGGGCAGAAATAATATTAAAACAGCAGGAGCTAGACAAATCATAACTCTACCAAAGCCATTACCTTATGGGGTAACGAGCTGCTAATAAATGGCCACAAATATTTATCGTATTTCTGTTTTGGTATCACGCGAGTCAACACTTAATGTGCACAGTAGTCTACAACAGTACTTAATTTCTAATAAAGATGAACATGTTTATGAATCACTGGGTTCCAGGTAACAGTAACTTCCCCCTCCCCCCCCCAAGAGCTTAACAAAATACCTATCTTCATGTATTTTAGACTTTAAAAAAACAAAACAACTTACTTTCAACAATTTCAACAGTTAAGGAGACAGATATAAAAAAGGACAAGGAATTAAATCTGATTACTAGCCTCAGTGCAGTTCTGGCCAAACTAGAGGGGACAGCATGAAAATGAAAGCCAAACTATAAAAGTGACAGGTCTATCTCAAATCTGATTTGATAAAATTATTATTTTGTTGAATAATCTAACTTCTTTTTTTACTCTGTAAAATATCAGTGTCACACTGTACTAAATACATACAATAGTATGAGTTAAACACATAAAAAATGTGAACCTAATGGATCTCAAACACTGAAAAGGAGTAGTTCCAAATTTCAACAGACATTGCTATTGGGTCGAATGCTACTTAGTTTTGGTGCATCAATGACCTGGAAACACATTACCAATGATAAAGCTGGCAGCTTATTTAAAAATTTCCATAGGGAACAAAAAGGATAACAGTACAGTCCTACCTCATTCTTTCTGGTAGGCTGATGGCATCACAGAATACATTTTTAGCAGTGCCAATCAGAAATTAGTAGCCGATTTCTTTGTTATAAGATGTTCGACATAGTCAGAATAAAGCACTGCATCCTGAGAAGCAATGCATCTGGAGTATTCAACAGATGCGAGTGATTCACTGTCTTTTTTATAATGAACGGCTTTTTTTTTTTGCAAAATACAGCTTTTATAATCTCCAGTTGCACACAACACAAATAACAATTTTGCCCCATTCTACTATTGAAGCTTTCCCTCCAAAATATGAAAAAGCTTTGTTAAGCCATTGCTACAAAGAAAGAGCAGTAGCTTTCCCATATAAAAGTTACTTAAAAACATTCATGGGCAAATACAGATTAGTTATACTTAAAGGTCCTTTCATTCTCTGCTTGAAGAAAGATTACTAGGTCTTCTAAGTAGAGAAATACAGGTCTCACACCTTGAATTTAGGATTTAGAACACTTTTGTACAACATTTCACACTAGGAAAAGATGGCCTATATGCTGAGCACAAAAATCATCTGTTCTCTGACCAAATGGAAGCATTTGTGTGAGGGTCTTCATAGGAATCAATTCTAGTTCCAAAAATGAAAGTGTTTGAGAACAGTCATTGAGCATTATAACTGACACCAGGATAGCAAAGTTCCCCAGAAAGATCACATGCTGGAAAGCTCTGCAAGCACACTTGAAGACAAAATTCAAAATTACCTTGACAAACTTGAGAAACTGCCTCAGATCAGAGCACAAGACAATCACGAAAAGAAGCATAAGGCGTTAAACCAAAGGCAGGAACTACCAGCGACAGGAGAGGTATCAAGTTATATAGAAAAAAACCAAATGAGCAGATTATAATGGATGATGAGGTGGTATGTGTGCAGCTATCTCATGCTGTTTCAAAAAAGAACACATACATAAACAAGTGTATAGTATGCAAGACACCTGAAGTGAATGCCTCCCTACCCAGCCTCAGTAAGTCCTCTGCTACAATACTTATGACCAGTTTGGGTCAGAACAACAGGAGACAGCAGAAGAAAGCAAACAAGAACGACCAAAGGTCTACAAAATGCAAACTTTGGAGTGGTTAAATGAGGTTGCTTTATCAAGAAAAAAGACAACTGAAAGGGAATTAATAACATGTTCTTCACAAAAGGCCTGCCAAAAAGAGAATAAATAATCCTATTTGATCTGTCCACTATACAGATGAGACGATACTGGGATTAAGATTCAACAAGAAATACTTGGGTAAGAAAACTTTCTTTAATGACAGATTGAAAGTACAAAAGCAATAAAGAGACTACGCAGGGACA